TGGTAGATTCAGGTACTTTTGAGCATGCAATAGTCCTGGCACCATTGTTGCATCCTTTTTCGTTGATCTACAAGGTAGGGTACCCGTTTGTCTTGACCTGCTAACAAGTATTGATTGCGTACTTTTTCTCCCTCTGTTGACCTCAATGATGTTTACAACAGAAGAGGCCGCAACGGAGGCCTCCCGACGGATGTTTGCAGTAATCTCTGCATATGTGACTGATATTCCGGGGGGCTTCGTCTTAACAAGAGACATTTGAGCTACATGTACCGAGGGTTGGTTTTCGACCGCTTCATCGTTGTTGAAGCTAGATGTCAGGTCTAGTGGAATTTGCTTAACCAGACCTTTCGAGTGGTGCCTGATTTTCGTTGCCGTGAGTACTGTTCGGCTCTCGTATGTACGGTCTGTTTTCGCACGGCGTTCTACCAAAGTTGGAGAAGACAACGGGAGGTGGCTGATTGCGGTTTAGGGGAAGCGGATTGTGCAGCATTTCGCTACTTAGAAGCCGCTGAGCTTCCGTAGTGCATAGTGGCTCCCATTGAATTAATCTTATCGTTTATCCTCTGCTCGGCTTCTGCGGTTAACCGGTCACACTTCTGAGCTAGGATAAGCAAGCCCTTAACGAGTCTGATGGTGGAGCAAGCAGTACAGAACTAAAGTCCATTTTGGGAGCTATTTCGCGCTCGTACCTGTTGTTGGGACACATTTACACATTTCGTATGATACCATTCCAAACAGTGCCAGCAAGCCTGACCGGTTTTAACTACTCGATGACATTCTCCTAACCCGCAAATGCCTTTCGCTTGGAGCCTTTTCGGTTTCGCATTTCTGCCATTCAAAATGGTATCGTTACCTAACCCAGTGTGTTGTTTAATGTTCTGTACTTTTCAAGCTTTGAAAGTGGCGCACATCGGTCAGGCGAGCGTGGTGGTTGCAAGGTCAAATGAGCGTGGTCGATCGGTTCGTGTGATGGGTTATGCAGCCGCACTGGCTGACAAGTTCACAAGGAATGGCGAGTGACTGGAACTTGTTAACTGAATCTGTACACAGCGCTGATCACAGATGTAGAGATCACAAATTCTTAACAGCTGTGTTGCGAAACGCTGGATCGGAGTAAGCTTAGGCTTTTCGGACTGCCTTGAGAATTCCGGATCGACTGGAGTCACATAGAAAGGCAATCGGCTCAATGTGATTAAGTTATCCGCTTGCGTTTAAGCAGAGATGCCTATGAAAATGGATATTGATGGCACGGACTCTAATCGTAGAATATATTTCCACGTATAATCTATCACTGTGTATGGCTGCTAAATTCGGTTCGTATGATTGTACTGTGACAACGCTGCCAGAAGATGGAGAGAGGATATAGAGGAATAATCTAACTAACCCAGGAGCACGCACCTCATCCGCGTGTATGGATGCATTTATCGCGGGTATGTTGATAACTCATCGGCTTCATATGATAACTTAGCGAAGTGGTATGTCAACCTATTCGTATAGTGTTTTCATCTTACGTGGTGTTGTCACTTCAAGTGATTGGCTGTTGCTTGACATCCCCGGTGTGGCTGCGCTTGTTTTGCATGTTGACAAGGTGCCTACCTGTCTATTACCCACTACCTCGTCCATACTGGCTCCAGGAGATAGTTGGTCGTTGCTGGAGGGGACGGGGTGCACGGTCCTTGTGGCCGTACTAGGCTCAAAGAGTGGTTCCATGCACTCAGTGGGGAACGGACTACGGTCCAGCCACCGCCTTGTGTGCGCATGATTCCCCAAATACAGTGTGCTTGTATTTGCCTGTGAAGGAGTGTGGGCCGGCTCAATTGATGAAACATGGCTCCCATCCACATGCCTCCCGGTCTTATTCCTTCGGGTTTACAATGGATATGGGATGTGTGGATGCCATCGCAATGAGGCTGGACCTTACCGTGGTGCGATGGTTTGTGTGCCTCTGTGATCCACTGAGCTATCCTGGGTGGTGCATTTTTGCACCTTCAGAGCCGCTCATACCAGATTGGTCAATGGTTAGAGGCCTAACAAACTCAGCCTCCTGGCCCTCCAGGTTGGGGGTTGGAATGAGGGTGGCTGTTTAAAGCGGACTCCTTGTAGCCCAGTGCCAAAACCCGCTGCCTTGCGGTCAGGTTTTTGAACCAAAGGCTTTGGTTGAGAACCCTAATCGTTCTCCTGTCTAGACCTGGGCAACCTGACAGTATCCTGCCTCCGCAATACGATGAATCTTTCCCCAAACAAATTTCTGATGCTCTGGCCACCGTAGAGGATAATCAACGGTGCCCTATCTGCTGCATCGGGCAGTTTGGATGGGGTTTGAATGCTACTGCTCAAGACTTCCCGTCTTCTTATTCCCCCACTTGCGCTTTTTCACCTTTATCGTCCCGTTCCAGCTTCACTTTTATCTCCCCTGTTTTCAACCCCCCAATTCTCGGCCCTCCCCCACGTTGCTTCAATAGTCGCTTGCCTTTTAGTTTCAACTCACATGTGAACGCGGAGCGTCATTCCTGCCCTGTCAACAGGCCCATGTCCAACCAAGCGGCCCATTCCAGTTCATCGGCTTCCATTTGGAGCCCTCGATCCTCCTTCAGATTGGCATGCCTCAATGTTCGCACATTGATTCAGATTGGTCAACAGGCAGCACTTGCCCGAACATTGGAGACCCTCTCGATCGATATCTGCTTCTTATCGGAGACCCGCCTGCAAGACTCGAGCTCTGTGATCACTCTACAATCCACTTCAGGTGACACCAGCAGCACTTTCTCATTGCGCCTATCCGGTGACGATGCAGCTTCGAGCATCGGCCAAGCCGGTGTTGGTATTGCCCTGAGTCCCCTGGCTGAAGCTTCTCTGCTTGATTGGATTCCAATCAGTAGCCGGATGTGTGAGGTCCGATTGGCTGGCTCGTTCAAAACTTCGAAGTCGCGTGGGACTAACTGGTGTCTATTCGTTATCGCT